TGTTGCTTCATGGAATAAATAAAAACTTAAGAAATCACAATGATGGCTTTGTTGTAGTGGCTCAAGTAATAGGGCAGGACTATGCAATATCTGAGCCGTATGAGTAGGTCTACGGTTCAGATTCTCAGATGACTGAATTCACCAGGTGTGCCTGTAATCCTGGCTGGCTAGAGGCTAGAGGGAGGATTGCAATGAGGCAAAAACCTGTCAGAGGTTCCTGTCTGTGTGTGCTTGTCTGTCTGTCTAAATAAACTTTAAAAAACAACAACAAAAACCTATGATAAGAATGAGTGCTATTTTATTCAACTTAAAATGCAAAGTGCTCTAAATATTTTTGGTATACATTAACTGCCCTAATTTTTTAAATGTAGACAACATGATCATGAAAAATTAACTCTAGCAATTTTTCTAAAAGTTATCCACCCCTTAATAAATTAACTACACTTCTTAACATGATAAAATGATCATTTTAATGATGTCTCAATTTATAATCTCAAGGATTTTTGATCACCTTGTTCTTTGAAACAGAATATGTGAATGACTAATAGTCTGCCAGGTTTGTGATTATGTACTTAGATGACAGATTTCTAATTACAAAGCACTCCATCTCCTTTCCTTGAATAAATTATATTTTTCAGACACTATGATCTCTAGCACTAAAAAAAAAACAGCAGAAATGCCAGAAAAAAAAAATTGCTAGCCTTAAAACAAATTACTATGGAAAATAAACCAAATAAAATACATAATACTGATTTTAAAGTCAGGTTGCTAGATAATATAAAAATTATACAAGGCAAAGTGATTCCCTACCCAAATATTTACGAGAAAAGTACCACTCTATACATGTAGTCTTATAAAATCTTTTCAATAAAAGGGGTTCTCTATCAATTATTATCATCTTGTTAGAAGACTGAGCAGAAAATGAATCATATCAATGCTAGTTTGGTTACATTTTGAAGTCACCTTATTACATACATATCAGTGTAAGGATAAGAAAAAATTCAGTTATTCCAAAAGGCATGACCTCAATCAATACAATATTGGATGCCACTGTAAAGGGTATTTAAAGACCACTTTTAAAAGCAAAACAATAAATGCAGACCTCACAAAGATCTAACAGTCACCAACCAAATATGTGAAAAAATTATTGTCGTGTCCTAAAAACTTCTGAATTGAGATGAATTATTAATAAAAAGAGATTAATTATTTAAAAATAGGTTTGCAAACTAGCCAATCTAAAATATGTGAATAAAGTAAAAGGCTTATTATTAGCTCATACCAAAGATGAACAAAATATACTAAACAAGGATTTTATTAACAATTATTGTACATCCCAATAGAAAGAATGGAGACACAATTCAGAGATTGTAAACACCTAATAAGCATTTAAAATTGCAAACTAAAGCATAACCAAAATTAAAATAATATTCAGATTCCTAAATTAATATCCTATTAATACTCAGTGCTGGTAGGAAAAAAGGTTGGATAGTCAGTCTCATACACCATTTTTGTTAGTTTAATTAGTATTACCCTTTTAGGAAGAAATTCACAGTATCAATAACCTTAAACATTCTCTTTAACCCAGTAATTCCAGTACAGGAATCTAGTCTAAGGCAATAATTTGAGGCAAGAAACAAGGGCTTTTAAATAAAAAGTTGGAAATAAGACAAAATGTTCACTTTCAAAAATATATGGTGTTAAAATTATCTTTTTCCAAAAATTTTAAGTAAAATGACTATTACAATAAAAAACTAACATGAAGGCCAGTTGTGGCATGGTTTTCAAGGTGGCTGGATCCCTATATGGCCAACTGTGTATGCAGGTTGGATTCCTGGACACAGTGGCTTAAAAAACATGTTGGGTGTGCATGTATATCCAAAATCCTAAAAGGAAAAATGGAGAAGGAATTGCCGCATGACCATCCTTCGTAGGCAGTGCTTTCTCACATTCTCTTCTCTCTTTCTTCCCTCACCTGTCTGTCTCTGGTGAGTGTGCACACTGCCTAGAAAAATTTAAGGAACAAACACACACACAAAACTGCAAATACAGTAAAATTTTAATTTTGTATAAAAATAAGTATTGGGACCAGCAGTTAGCGTAATGGCTATGTCGCTGGATTCCCACGTAGTTGACCGTGGTTCAAGTCCCGGACCTGGTGGCTTGAACTCACACCAGGTACGTGTGCGTGTGTGCCCAGGATCCTGAGAGGAGAATGGAGGAGAAGGAACTGTGGCGTGGCCCTCCCCCCTGGGGGGTGATTTCTCACTTTCTGTCTGTGTCTTTCTGGCAAGCACACACACCCTATAACAACAACAAAAAAAAAAAGAAAGAAAACAAAAACCTCTCCAAGGGAAAAAAAAGTACTTACACAAGAGAGAGAAAAAAAATACACTACAGACATTATTTGACCTCTAAATCTTGTAACTCAACTACTTTGAAAAACAGTATCTGAAGATAATAAAGTAAAAAAGGGCCAGGCTATGGCCTGGTGGTCAGAAGTGCTTGATCCCACATGGGCAACCATGTCATTAAGAATATTAGACCCAGTAACTTAAAAAACACACTGTATGCATGTGTGTGCTTGCCCCAAACACAAAAGGTGGAAGAGAGAAAGGAGAAGGGACTGTGGCATGACCATTTCCTGTATTAGAGTGCTTTCTTATTTCTCTCTCTCATCTCTCGCCAGCAAACCCATGCATACTTTGGTAATTTAAAAAAAAAAAAAAAAGGTGAAAAGCCATTGGGGCTAGCAGGTCAGATGTGGTGGCTGAGGTACTGGACTTTCACATGGCTGACCACAGATACAGTCTTGGACCTGGTGGCTTTCTTTCTCACTCTCTCTATCTGGTGAATATATGTGCCTTATAGCAAATTTCAAAAATAAAAATAATAAATAAAACTAAATCAATAATGTTAAATAAAAAACAAAAAGTCCAGTAATAACAAGATATAAAACTATTAAACAGGTAAGAGATGAAGTAATTTAGGAAAGGGTGAATTCACCAGTCTCATCACAAAATTTTATCAAGCAGATGTGAAAACAATATACATTGTAGTAAAAAATGTAACATAAAGCAGGAAGACAACAGACAAATTTACTTAAGAAGTGTATAATCTACTTATAAGCTTTAATAAAAAAATGTCAAACACCTTATAAAACAAATAGACACAGAATAACATTGAAGTCAGTTGTTCTAAGACTCCTTGATCTTTTAATTAAAAAGACTGATTCTTACTTTTTAAAAAATTTCACCCAAGACCAGGAGATCACAAGGGGAATAGTGATTAATTGCATAGGAGAAGAATATGGGCGACTTACAACATGCCTTAATTCAGGAGCCAAACATATCTAAGTATAAATAGATAGGCAAACACACAAAGCTCACAGGGTCCAAGATAATGACTGCTGTGATCATATATTTGATGTTAGCTGTTCTTGGTATTTTATCCTTGAATTGGTTCTTTTATAACTTATGTGTTAATTTGTAAAATTATCAGGAACTAAAATCTTGATACCACCATCTACTTTTGAGTATTTTACGGATTTAATAATATATCTGCCAAGTGCTTACCAGAATGTTCAGGACCTAGAAGCTACTTAATGAAGTTAATTCTTCTTTTTCTCTTTATTAACATAGTATACTTTCTGTCAGTGGAGTTTAATAATCTTAATGGTAACTGTAAGCAAGGGCCATGCCCTTGCATCTCATTACTGTCACTCTTGATTTTTGTCTTTAAAAACTGTACACTATACAATAGTCAATCCTACTAATTTACATGTTTAATTGAAAGAGTTAAGGCTTAAATTAGGCCTACATGGTGAGAGATTCTGTCATGAGAGAATGTTAGTAAACTAAAGCTTCTATTAGAGTAATGATAAACAGTTATGACTTATGCTACACATATTAGAACAGAATATAAAATAAGAATAAAGGGTAGATTTTGTTGAGGTAATCTGAATTACAATAATTTCAAACATCAACTGCTTCAGTTGTGCATTAACAGTGTCTCTCTCCACACATGTATCACAGATTGCATACTTACAAATGGATGACGGGCTGTTCTATGTCCACAGCAAATAAATACAGCCAATGAATTACCTCATTATAATACAGATTTTTTTAATGACAGAAATTAAACTTATGTAAGAGCTTGTTTGTCAACCATCTTGGATGGAAACGCTGACTTAAAGATAATCTTACAAACAACAGAAATCAGGAAATAATTTTCTAACACATTAAAAAAAGGAAATCATAAATATCCATCTTAACTTATGAATCATTTTGCTTGTTTTACTTACAAAGTAAGTTTCCCTAATTTCTTCTTCTTTTTGACTCCATCAACTACTAGTTGTATAATTCTGCATTTATTTTCATTAGATAACTCAAAGGATAAGGTGAATATAAATGATTAAGAGAAAATGCAAAGGTACAACAAAATAAATTTTATAGCAAAATTCTTCTAAATAGTTTTTTAAAAAGGCAGTAGAATATGCTTCAAAAACCCCATATGCCTAGTCCTATTACACATTTTGTCTATTAACAATTCACTGCTTCAATGAAGTGCAAAATGAAATCAGATTAGCACTAAAGAATAGACAAATAGAGACTTAGACATAGACAATGTAACATCAACTGTTAGGAGTAACCATTATATTAAGAAGTCCAAAAATTTCTTCCTTAGTTTTTCTTCTTTTGTTTTGGGAGGGCAGAGTGAGGGGAAAAGTTAGGATAATAAGAGGAACAAATTGTAAATACACCTATGATGAACAATTTAGCTTTTTCTCCTAATACCATTATACGTTGTCTCACCTGAGAAAAAAGCAAAATTCACAATACCTATACAATTTGTTAAGGTCAAAAATCGGGGATTCATTAATTCATTATACTTACTGGAGTTTCACACACACTTTACCATTTTGCAAAAATGGTTAACAGTCTTTATAGGGAAAAAAAAAAAAAACAAAAAAAAAAAACAAAAAAAAAAAACCAACACCATACCTAAAAGGGATGTCTCCTTGGCAAATGCTGCAGCAATAGCTGGGTCCAATGCAGGCTGTCCATCCCCAGAGGGAAGATCAGGTCGAGTGTAATCTCTACTTTTATCATTGTTGTATTTTACGTTCAAATTCACTAATTTGGAAAAATCAATCCTCAGGGTACAGCAAGCATTATAAATATTCTGGCCATCCAGGGCCTATAAAAGTAAGTTAGTTGTATCAGTAATCTTAAATAAGAAATGAAAATTAGCAGGAGGGAAAAAAAAAAGCATGATTTTAACAGTAAAACTTACAGTAAAAATCTGCACATAAAAGTCATCAGGAAATAAAGATTCAAATTTCATACAACATACTTGGCTATTCCAACTGTATCTGTATTAGATATATTATATTCTTTAAAAATGCTAGTGAAGGGGCCAGCAAATGGTGTAGTGGTTATGTTGATGGACTCCCACATGGTTGACTGTGATTTGAGTTCTGGACCCAGTGGCTTGAAAATCACAACAGGTGCATGTGCGTGCATGCCCAAGATCCCAAGAGGAGAAGGGATTGCATGAGGCAATCCCTCTCACTTTCCTCTCACTGTCTCTGTCTATCCCTCTCTCTGGCTAACAAACACACCTTATGGCAAAAACCTCTTAATAAAAAAAAAAAAAAGAAGAAGAAAAAAGAATATGCGACTTCGATCTAACACACAACTAGTTAGTAATGATCCATGCTAATAAAACTTTGATAAGATTGACAGTATTTGTGACTCTTATTAGTTTTTTGAAAATCAAGTTCTTTATACTATTTAAAAATATGACTCAATTTCTTAATCTGGAAAACAGAGATGGTAATGGCTATCAATTTTTTTTCATAGGATTGTTATGAAGATTAAATAAAGGATCACATATCCAAAAGTACATTGTGAATTATGAAGGACTATGCTTATGATTATTACATTTTTTTCTATTCCTATATAATCACCACTTCTGTTACAGCTGGATATAAACTAGAAGCAAACTTGAGAAAAGGAGAATACACTGTAAATTTTTCAATAGAAGAATAGACATGTCTTAAAAATCTCTACAGATGCTTAAGTATATAAAGCTTCTAATTCATTCAAATATTCCTACTCTCCAGAAATTTAAAACCATTTCCCCCTTAATATACAAAATTAAATTTTATATGACTATATTTATCTAACTAAAACTAAGCTAAAAAGAGTTTGACATAAATTTTTCAATATGGTATCAGTGAAAACACACTTAAAGTAACTTCACACACATAATGATATGAATTACATCTAAGTTGGGCAAAGCACCTATTATATAAGTAGAAGCCAAGTATAGATTTAATCAGCCACAAGAACATAACGATTAAATTTTAACCCTGCTGTAAAGGCAAGCAAAGCATTAAAAGTAAGCATTTATTTATTTATTCATGTATCATTCTTACAGGAAAAATGTGAGACAACAGAATCTATGTTTCTACACAATATATAAAGAGTGAGTAGCAAAATTAACTACGTGACTGCTTCAATATTATCAAAGAGAAATGGTATCTTGTAAAAGACTTTATGTCATAATATCTTGGTTAATGCTCATAGTATGCTACTGATACAAAAGTATTAAATTTACAAAAAGCAGTTTTGGGGAAATGAGTTCTTTCCAAGCAATACTGAGGTAGACTTCCAAATGATCTACAATTAATATACCAGTTGGTAGAAAGTCCTCTAGATATCTTGAATATTTTCCCTTTTAACTTTTCTCAGAAATTATTTAAGTGGGGGAACCAGCAGTTAGCGTAATGGCTATGTTGCTGGACTCCCACGTAGTCGACCGCGGTTCACGTCCTGGACCCGGTGGCTTAAAACTCACGCCAGGCGCGTGTGCGTGCGTGCCCAAGATCCCGAGAGGAGAATGGAGGAGAAGGGATTGCGGCGTGACCATCCCCCCTGGGGGGTGATTTCTCGCTTGCTGTTCTCTATGTCTCTGTCTGTCTGTCTGGCGAGTGCACACGCCCTACAGTGAAAAATCTCTCAAAAAAAAAAAAAAAAAAAAAGAAATTATTTAAGTGGGAGACACTAAATACACCAAAGATACAGGAGCTAGAGAAATAAACTATTCCTTTTATCTGTTAGTAACACAGAAAAGGAATAGTAGCTAAGAATGCATGAAAACAAGAATCCAGGCATTTTCAATAGTTAGCTAAAGTATGGTAACCACAAATAAGGTAAAGAGGAATATCAATTTAAAATATATATGCAAGCTCACTTCCATCTCATATATTTGCAAAATCCCAGGAAATAACAGCACACAGACCAATACTGTGGTTCAGCAATCAGGAATATCCTAATCTTCCTGGAGCAAAGACTTCTGATAGTAAATGCTCAAGACAATTTGCAAAAAATCCTTCAGTGTGCCTATTCACAATGAAAGTTTTGATAGTGAGCAAAAATAATCTGGCCAAACATTTCCTCAGTAAATTTAAGATTCATGGCTATACTATAATCAAAATACAGGACAGATGTTAAGACAAAGAAGGTATAGTTAAAACATCACAACACTGTATATGGGTTAAAAATAAGACCACGATAAAACCATTTCCATTTTAACTCAATGTTCATTATTTATGTAACTTACTTTTTAAAGGTTTTTGGGTCAGATTTAACAGATGCATAGAGAAACCTTAAACTCCAATTTCTACAAATACCTACTTTTCAACTTTTAGTATATCATGAAAAATTATCATTATCAAGAACATACACTTCAGGGGACCAGCAGTTAGTGTAATGGCTATGTTGCTGGACTCCCACGTAGTCGACCGCGGTTCGCGTCCCGGACCCAGTGGCTTAGAACTCATGCCGGGCATGTGTCCGTGCGTGCCCAAGATCCCAAGAGGAGAATGAAGGAGAAGGGACTGCGGCGTGATCATCCCCCCTGGGGGGATGATTTCTCGCTTTCTCTCTCTGGCGAGCGCACGTGCCCTATAGTGAAAATCTCTCTCTAAAAAAAAAAAGAACATACACTTCAGGGACCAGCAGTTAGCATAATGGCTATGTCGCTGGACTCCCATGTAGTCAACTGCGGTTCGAGTCCTGGACCTGGTGGCTTAAACTCATGCCAGGTGCATGTACATGCATGCCCAAGATCCCAAGAGGAGAATGGAGAAGGGACTGCAGCGTGGCCATCCCCCTGGGGGGGTGGTGATTTCTCACTTTCTGTCTTTCTGGTGAGTGCACATGCCCTATAGTAAAAACCTCTCAAAAAGAACATACACACTTCAGACTGACTTATAAGATAAAATAACCCCACTCTAATAGATCACTGGATTTTCCTAAAATATCCTAAAACCATTGGTTTCATCATAAATCCTCCATTCATAAAAGTGTGAAAAACACAAATAGTACATGCTCTAAAGGCGAGCATAAACAGATGCAATGAGAATCTGCCTAAGAAAACAGAAAGAGATAATTCCATTAGGTCTCTCAAGGGAACTGCATAAAGCAATGAAGAAATATGCTCAAAAGAATGAATAGCATGATCTTAGTGCTGCAAATATTTTAACTCATGTTTCTTTTTACTAGTAATAATTAAATGGATATTATTTCCTAGAAGGAATCAATATAGAAACAAACCAATTATCTGCTAAAATGAAATGTCTAAATAAAAAGGATTACTAGTCACACACATGCCCATGATCCAAGGCAGAATGAAGCTGGGGTGAAGAAAGATCTCGAGACTCTTGTAGAATTGCTCTATCTATCACTCATGGAAACAGTAATCTTTAAAATACTTGCATTGTTTATAGATATATATCCATAAAAACTGAACGAAAGCCAACAGAAAGTGTACGTTTGATTACCCAATACATTGTTTGCCAATAAAGATTTTTCTAAATGGTATCAGATACTTTAATGAATGTGAGAATCATGTAATATATTGTTTTTATTGCTATTTAGTATTGTTACTATGACTTCTGATTATCACCCTAAATGTCAACACTCAATAAATCCAACAGAGAACAAAGCAGACATGGTACGCATTTTTCTATTTATCATCCAAGAAAAAATACAGTCATTTAACAAATAATAATAAATTTGATGTGTGGTATTGAGAACTAAGAAACGAAAAGATCTAATCAAGTTGACAGGTTATGGAAGACCTCTCTGAGAATAGACTTCTACACTTATAATTAAATAAGGAAGATAAGCAGAAGTCAGGTTTAGAATGAAGAGAAAAATTGTATTAGCAAATGGAATACCAAGCTGTAAATCTGAGAGATCAGAGAAAACAGGCCACTACCAAAGCTATTTAAAGTCCAATATATTAATAGCTAAAGAGAAGAGACTAAGGAGGCAGGCTGAAGACTACTTTAAAGTCTTCTAAGTCAAGCTAAATACTACGGACAAAAGTTAAATACCAAAAACAAAAAATCACCAAAGGGCACTGAGAATGGATTAATATGGTTCTGCATGGTGGCTCAGGCAGTAGCATACTGAACTTCAGTGCTGGAAGTCACATGGCCAAATATAAGTTCAGGTCCTGAGTTGGCCTGAAAATAGCCAGGAATATACACACACCAGATCCTAAAGGGCTGAAAGGGGAAAGAAAGAAAATCATGGCATGATGAGACCCTGTCAATCATGCTGGTCTTCGTGTGTGTGCGTGTGTGTGTGTGTGTGTGTGTGTGTGTGTGTCTCGTGTGCAAAAGTACTAGTAGAGATCTGAGAAAGGATGATGACAGATTAGTGCTACTCAAACCCAGCTTCACATACCTATACCTCATCTTACATTCTGTCAGGATTTTGGACATGCACATACATACTCCTAGCATGTTTTCAGGACTGCAATTCAACTTTGGTCAGGTTGGTGAGGTTCAGCTTTCTAGGCACAGAACTTAACCACTGTGCTAAAGGGCTAGCACAGAGTGACTAGCATTATTAAATAATAGTGACTCAGACTAGAGTGGCAGTATTAAAGTTGGAGACAAGTGGACAGATGTGGGTCAGCTGCAGTGACACAGTGGTAACATAGCACTATGCAATAATGAGACCATATGGGAAGGACCTGGGTTCTTATCTCCAGGTTTCCCTATACATACTGTAGCTTAAATGTAACTACAGATTGCTTCAGACAAGAAATAGACATAGGGCCTGACCCAAAGCCTCATGGTTAAGGGCACTGAATCCCAAAGTACATATGGTTCAAACCCCAGTCCCACTGGTTTGAAAAACACATTGGGCATATGTGCATGAATGCCCCAAATTCACAGAGGACAGAGAAAGGAAGAGACTGCAGCGTGACCATGCCTAACTGGGAGATGCTATGTCTCTGTTTCTCTCTTCTTTTGTGAGTACACACACCATTTGGCAATTAAAAGAAAAATACAGATTAAAAACTATTTTCTCCATAAGAATGACAATCCAAATGCAATGTATAATTCCTAATCAAATTCCATTTCAGTGGTCCCATGCCCATGATCCAAGGCAGAATGAAGCTGGGGTGAAGAAAGATCTCGAGACTCTTGTAGAATTGCTCTATCTATCACTCATGGAAACAGTAATCTTTAAAATACTTGCATTGTTTATAGATATATATCCATAAAAACTGAACGAAAGCCAACAGAAAGTGTACGTTTGATTACCCAATACATTGTTTGCCAATAAAGATTTTTCTAAATGGTATCAGATACTTTAATGAATGTGAGAATCATGTAATATATTGTTTTTATTGCTATTTAGTATTGTTACTATGACTTCTGATTATCACCCTAAATGTCAACACTCAATAAATCCAACAGAGAACAAAGCAGACATGGTACGCATTTTTCTATTTATCATCCAAGAAAAAATACAGTCATTTAACAAATAATAATAAATTTGATGTGTGGTATTGAGAACTAAGAAACGAAAAGATCTAATCAAGTTGACAGGTTATGGAAGACCTCTCTGAGAATAGACTTCTACACTTATAATTAAATAAGGAAGATAAGCAGAAGTCAGGTTTAGAATGAAGAGAAAAATTGTATTAGCAAATGGAATACCAAGCTGTAAATCTGAGAGATCAGAGAAAACAGGCCACTACCAAAGCTATTTAAAGTCCAATATATTAATAGCTAAAGAGAAGAGACTAAGGAGGCAGGCTGAAGACTACTTTAAAGTCTTCTAAGTCAAGCTAAATACTACGGACAAAAGTTAAATACCAAAAACAAAAAATCACCAAAGGGCACTGAGAATGGATTAATATGGTTCTGCATGGTGGCTCAGGCAGTAGCATACTGAACTTCAGTGCTGGAAGTCACATGGCCAAATATAAGTTCAGGTCCTGAGTTGGCCTGAAAATAGCCAGGAATATACACACACCAGATCCTAAAGGGCTGAAAGGGGAAAGAAAGAAAATCATGGCATGATGAGACCCTGTCAATCATGCTGGGGTCTTCGTGCGTGTGCGTGTGTGTGTGTGTGTGTGTGTGTGTGTGTCTCGTGTGCAAAAGTACTAGTAGAGATCTGAGAAAGGATGATGACAGATTAGTGCTACTCAAACCCAGCTTCACATACCTATACCTCATCTTACATTCTGTCAGGATTTTGGACATGCACATACATACTCCTAGCATGTTTTCAGGACTGCAATTCAACTTTGGTCAGGTTGGTGAGGTTCAGCTTTCTAGGCACAGAACTTAACCACTGTGCTAAAGGGCTAGCACAGAGTGACTAGCATTATTAAATAATAGTGACTCAGACTAGAGTGGCAGTATTAAAGTTGGAGACAAGTGGACAGATGTGGGTCAGCTGCAGTGACACAGTGGTAACATAGCACTATGCAATAATGAGACCATATGGGAAGGACCTGGGTTCTTATCTCCAGGTTTCCCTATACATACTGTAGCTTAAATGTAACTACAGATTGCTTCAGACAAGAAATAGACATAGGGCCTGACCCAAAGCCTCATGGTTAAGGGCACTGAATCCCAAAGTACATATGGTTCAAACCCCAGTCCCACTGGTTTGAAAAACACATTGGGCATATGTGCATGAATGCCCCAAATTCACAGAGGACAGAGAAAGGAAGAGACTGCAGCGTGACCATGCCTAACTGGGAGATGCTATGTCTCTGTTTCTCTCTTCTTTTGTGAGTACACACACCATTTGGCAATTAAAAGAAAAATACAGATTAAAAACTATTTTCTCCATAAGAATGACAATCCAAATGCAATGTATAATTCCTAATCAAATTCCATTTCAGTGGTCCTTAACCAAATACTTGTCCTGTGAATAAATACTTGTCCTGTGAATCAGAAGAACAAAGAAAATACTTCACTCTATAATAAAACAGCACACTATATTTAAGTTGTATGTGAATGTATGTAAGTATACGGAAAATACCATAGAAACTAGGGATTCTAGATTGTCTCCTACTGATAAAACCTTATACTACTTTGATTTTAGTAACCCAATAAATATAAAATATTTCCAAAGTCTGGGAGAGGAAGGTTAGCTATGTAAAATAAGATAACTAGAAAAAATAATTCCAACTGCTAACCTATGCCTGAAAAAGAAACTTAGTAAAGATCAGTTTATATAATCAGAGAATCAGTGAATAGTAACATTTTAGAGAGAAAAACTATCTAAAATACAGACAAGAAATGTCGACTGTACAAAAAATGTGCACTGTAAGTCATCTGACTCTAAATGTTAGTGTTGCTTTGAACACAGGAAAACTGTTCTATTTACAACATGCAGTAGTAGTCAGAAAATGTGAGTAGTAGAATTTTGCAAACAATTAAAATTAATGTTATTACAAATATGGTTTTCTGCTACATAACGCTATTTTTGCTCTTCAAATGAGATTGTGAGAATGGGAATACAAGGACATAATAATCAAAAATGGTCTGGGTTCTATATAAGTAATCTTGATCTTGAGGCCTCATTGAAGTATTAGACATTAATTAATCTTACAGTAGAAGAATAAATGAAAGTGAGGAAAAAGGAAGATAAAGGTAAGTAAAACAACTTATTTAGTAGTTATATAATTATAGTCTAATAATAACTTTTAGTAGCTTAAAAATGGGATGATAATAATATGGCACAGAAAGTTAAAGAAACAAAGCAAAAGTAGATTTACCTAAGATTTAGGAATGAAGAATTAAGACATTTGGAAGCAAAGATGTCACATACAGTTTTCAATGGTAGTTATGAAAAAGAAAAATTTAACATCTTTTAGTAATCGCTTACCTTCGTACAATGACAAAAAAGACAAATGATGTGAATAAAAAGAAAAAGAGCTTAGCCTTAGTGGCAGAATCAGTAGCTGGAAGCCACATGGTTGACCACAGGTTCAGGTCTTAGGACTGGTTGACCTGAAACTTGCTGGGAGCATGCACAAGATTCTCATGAACTGCAGGACTAGGGAAAGGAGATCACAGTTTGAAGAGACCCAGTAAAGGGTACTTTCTCTCTGTCATGTGCACATATACACACATACACTATCAGAAATAAAAAATAAACTTCAACACAATAGACTGAAACCAATTCAGAAAACATGTCTTTATAAAAATATTGAGGTGAGATAGCAGGTGGTATAGAGGTTAAGGCACTGGATCCCACTGGGCCTACTGTGTGGTTTGAGTCCCGAACCCGGTGTCTTGAAAATCGTGCTGGGCATATGTGCATACATGCCCAAAATCCTGAGAGAAGACTAGAGGAGAAGGGGTTACAGTGTGGCCTTCCCTCCTGGGTGAGTGATTTCTCACTTTCCCTCCCTCCCTTTCTCTCTCTGGTGAGCAATGTACTCCACAGCAAAATTAAAAAAAAAAAAAAAATTTTAAATGAAGACCAGTCTTTTGGCCTAGTGGTTAAAAGAGCTGAATGCCCTGTCGCAGCCTGCATCTTGAATCCCAGCCCTAAAGGCTTGAAAAACATGCCATGTGTGTCTGTGCCCAAAATCCCAACACAATGGAAGAGAATGGACTACATCATGACCACGCCACTTTGGGGGGTGCTTTCATCCCTCCCTCTACTACTTTGTTGTCTCTGGCAAGTGTATGTGCCCTCCTGCAACTAAAAATAAATAAATAAAATCTTTAAGGAGAATATAAAATAAAGAATATAAAGTTATATGTAAACTAAGAGCCTCTCATAGACTGGACCCACATCTGTATTGACTTATTTCAGCCAACTGAAATAGTTTTCCCACTGGAAACTAATTAAAACATTACACATGTATGCATAACACAATCCTGTCAACTTCTCAAGAATATGAAACATACATATAAAAAATGCAAAGATAACATGCTAAGAGATGGCTAGCAGCTAAGGTGCTGGACTTCTACAGGGCTGACCACAATTAAGAGTGTGCCCGAAATCCCAAGAAGAAATGGAGAAGGAATTGTGGTGTGGCCATGACCCCTGGAAGATAATTTCTTACTTCTCTCATTGTGTCTTTCTGGCTCTATAGCAAAAACCTAAAAAAAAAAAGTAACACTACCTCAAAAGAAGTTCTGGACTTACTAGTTTTGCTTGTTGAGCATTTACTGGATCACCATACTGGAGTAAAGCTTGAAACTGGTTATTTTTTGTAAATGTGATTATCTTCAATACAGCACCAAACTTAGAAAAAATCTGCAAAAACATAAAAATCAAAAGATTAACCTACTATGTTATTTCTCCTATTTACAAGTACGCAAATTAGATTAAACTTACTTGGTGAAGAACATCAAGTGTTACAGGGTAGTACATATTGTCAATAATTATTCTAAGTACTGGACTTTGGGCTGGAGTCACAGCGCTCTCACTAACTGTGGTGCCACTAAGAGGAGTATTTGCAGTCTGCACAGCTGTCACTGCTTGAAGAACTGCTTGAGCACGCTGAAAGTTAAAAGATAAATAGTTTAGAAATGCACCCATTATTTTCACTTATACTTTGCTACATGTTACATTACTAGTACAACTCTTTCCTAGAACACATATATTAAACAAAGCTTAAAGTGCACCTTAAACATAAATACCTTTGAGCACCTGCCGAAAGACAGATATTGTCTCTTTATAATTCAAGTATTCTACTAGTAGTTACTTCAAAATAATTACCAATGTTCAACAAGCAAAAACAGGCAATGAATTTATACTGGAAAGAACGAGATAATTTTAGAAGATCTACATAACCAGAAAATGTTTTAATAGAAACTTTTAGAGAACAGTAGACCTCTAATTTAACATTACTCACGCTGTACATACAGGTACATGGTAAATCTCAACAGGTTGATACTGGATTATCCAAAATAACTCCTTTCTTTAAGCTTATTATTTCTAATACAATCTTGATACAGGAATATTCAGAACACAAATTAAGTCTTTTCCCATCCTACTGCTAACATCTCTTATTAAAGTTTTAATAACAGAAACTGGTGTGTAGTCTGAAACTATAAAATTTTCAGAAAAACTTCAGGATACAATATGAAGGGTATTTACCATACATTTTATGGTATTTATTATACTATCAACTATAAAATGTACTATTATTTTATATCTTATGTCTGACAAATAAGATGTTGCCAATTAAACTTTAACAGATCAACTACTACTACTATAAGATACATCTTGATTTCTGAGATTTTAAAACATGAAAAAGATATATGTAAAATTGAAGAAACGAAATACTTGAGGAAAATGTGCCAATCAAATTACATGTTAAATGCTCCAGAAGACTATTTTTACTATTATTATACCTTGCCTATTACTATTGTGACAGATTCTCTGACAATAAAGTAATTTCTACCTTATATGGAGTCTGAAAACATATATAAAGGCAAACAGTTGTTAAATGTAACATAACTAATATCTCTATGCTATTCTAGTTTGAAAAATCTGTATTAGCAGATGAACGGAAATATAAACAGAGCAGAGGGATAAATTAAAGAGAAGAGCATAAAATTAAGACTCCTAAAGATTGGAATGATTATCCTACTGAAATATTAAATAACCAGGGAATCAAAAACCTAGGGATGTTGTTTAGTTAGCATAACATACTACATACTCCTATAGATAAACTCATCATTTTAATGCTAACTAAACAATATTTTACCTATAAATGTATATATTACCTTAAGTAACTCATCAATTTGAACACAATCTTTTAAAATATACTACTTATTATAACAGATACCTTTATATCACAATGAAAAATACGGTAGTAAAGAATATAAATGGGCAGAAAATTTCTAAAGTAACATCTGTCTAAATGTTTAACTATATTTGAAAAAGTACTTTAAATAGGGACCAGCAGGTGGCATGGTGGTTAAGGTGCTGGACACTCCCACATGGCCGACCACGGTTCGAGTCCCGGACCTGGTAGCTTCCTTTCTCCCTTTCCCTGTCTCTCTGTCTCTCTCTCTCTCTGTGTGTCTCTCTCTGGTAAAATTAAAATAAATAAATGAATAAATAAAGTTAAATAAATAATAATTTTAAAAAAGAAAAAAGAAAAAGTACTTTAAATAGATTATAGCAACATTATTTATTAGTGAATATATTCTTACATATATTTACTAACAGTAAAAGCATGGGTTATCAAAACTTACGGAAAAAAATCATCTTTCGTTTCAAATAATGAAATGTTTTTTAAAATTAGGAATCAAATGATCATGGCATGGTATATAAATAATTCAAGAAGTACAAAAGTTAAAATAAGTTTTCTCTCCAAGTTTGTCACCCAATCTTTTCCCTACCAATCCCCTCAACCAATATTGATCTTAAGTATACTTCAGGAGGTACCATCTGCCTATACAAATAGACACAAATTTTTCATTCCACACTTTTTAATTCAATACTATTCATTGTTCTTTTTCTTTTATAGCTTAATAAGTATGTCTTCCTACATTAGTGATAAATGATTTCATACATGTCTTTTTAAATTCATGAAGTAGAGTTGACTTGCCAATAAATCAATAGATTTTAACAAAACTAATCAAAATATTACATATAGCAAAAAACTTCTCCGAAAAAATATTATACATACAGAGAAACTGACACAAATCTAAGTGTACAGAGCTCAATAAAACATCACAAATTGGACATCTCAGTGATGATTATTAAATTAAGCATTATCAACAGTTCCAGAAGCTACACTCATGCCCCTCCCAGTTATATAAATATATATTCCACTTTCGTCTGGTTTTTAATGAACATTATTATATGACATAAATTCATGTTTTGCAGGTACACATAACTAACTCATTCTTACTGCAATAGTATTTCACTGAATAATATACATATTTGGTCATCAGAAAATCATGATCTGTTTTTCAATGCAAAAATACTTCATGATTTTTCCAACAACCCAACATATTCTATTACTACTGAAAATTTATATCATCTCTAAGCTTTGGGCTATTACATACAGTGTTCCAAGAACTTCCTCATACAGATAGTGCGAAACACACATGTATATGTTATTTTTAAGTACGTAACTAAAAGTGGATTTACTGAGCTAAAGAGTATGCACATGCTCAACTCTGATATTTCACGTTTGCAAAAATGGTTCTACCAAGTCACATTCCCATCACTTACATATGAAAATTTAAGCTTCTCTACATTGTCACCAATACTTGGTACCACTTATCTTTCCAATATTAGCCAATCTGGTATTCACGCGGTAGTAGCTCACTGTGACTTTAACTTGCATTAAAAACCTCTATTCAAAACTAATCTACTCTTTATGGATTAAGGGGTGGCATTTTAGAGTTAAAGGAAGACCTGAAGATATTTAGCAACTGGCCATGTGAAATGTCAAGTTAAAGGGCACAGCAAAGGCAAATCCACCACAAAATTCCATGTGTAAAGGCACAGTATACTATGGCAGCAAAAACTAAAATCAAGAGAAAGCATGTGAGGTTAGAGGATGTATCATTACTCTTAAGACATACACACAGGCAAATAGGGTGGGAGCAGCCATTAGAAAGACAAGGCAAATAGGGTGGGAGCAGCCATTAGAAAGAAGACAGAAACAGTGATGACTGCAGAAAGAGTCTTTACCCTGAGCATGAAAAGGGCCTGATACAAGAAAATAATTGAAATATACGAGTTTTTGGGTTTTTTTTTGTTTTTTTTTGGGGTTTTTTTAAAGATATATACTGGGCTGCATTAGGGAGAAAGAATTCAAAAGGGAAAAGTAAGAAAGTAGATTAATAAAAGTTGTTGTGGTTATTGTGCCTGAGCAATAGAAGCAGCAGAAGAGATGGAGAAAACTAGGCAGATAATTAAGGAAAGTGAACTCATAGGACTTACAGATTAAATAAAGGATAATGGAAGAATTCATGGTTAATACAGTCACCCACCTCCTCTTCTATTACGAAACCCTATTAAAATGCCTATAATGTGAATATATTGGGTTGTGGGGAAAGTCATGATCATTTTTGCATAGAAAAACACAGAAATATACATCATAACTTTCCCAATTACCTAATAAAAGAAAATAAACACGAACACTAAAAAGATGGAAGCTTATCATAAGCTGAGAATAGTTCTGTCAAATTCCTGGAACACAGAACCAAATAAACAGTAGACAGACTAAATACAGCCAGCAGGGCTTACACTGGCAGCAGCCACAGGAATCAAATTAGAAACTAGCAGGTTCACAAGAGGAGGGAGAAAGAACAAGAATTAATGAAAAGTGTGGTTAATCAACAGTTTACTCTTCTGCCTACACTCCCCTAACCAACTCCCCTCTTTACCATTAACAAAACAAAAGAAAAAACAGGACTAGCACATGATTTGGTGGTTAAGGTGCTGGATTCCCACATAGCCAACTGCAGTTCAAGTCAGCCCTAGTTCCTTGAAAATCACACCAAGTACATGTGTGTGAGTGCCCAAAATCCTGAGAGAAGAATGGAGAAGGGACTGTAGTGAGGCCTTTCCCCCTGTGGGGTGATTTCTTCCCTTCCCTCTCTCTGACTCTCCCTGGCTAGTGTACATGCCCTATGGCAGAAACATAAAAAAAAAAAAAATCCTCACTCTCTAGTTACCAGAGTTCTAAAGGGAGTTTTGTTGGTCCCTAACAAGGGCTTTCTGGCACTGGGGTCAGTATCAGTTTAGTATCCATCTCATTACTGTGGCAAGAAAGGCACATGGGTCCAACAAAATCTGTCCATTTTGAAATATGAACAGACTGCAAGTAATGATGTGAGAAACTGAGGACAAAATAAACAAGGGAACAGTGGCATAATTGTTAAGCCAACTGGATCCCACATGGCCAACTCCACAGTTGAAGTCCCAGAATTGGTGACTTGAGAGACAAGCTGTGTGGATATACAGTTGAACCCAAAGTCACAAGAGGAGAATGAAAGAGAAGAAACTGTGGCACGGCCATTCCCCCAGGGAGTGATTTCCCATTTTCTCTCTTTCTCCAAGGAGAGTACATGCTCTATAGCAAATTAAAAAACAAAACCTAAAACTGAAAACTAAAAACAAACCTAACACTGAATAAAAGATGTAATTCTTTTTTGTTGTTGTTGTTGAGAGGTTTTTGCTATAAGGCACGTGTGCTCGCCAGACACACAGAAAGCGAGAAATCACCCCCCCAGGGGGGATGGCCACGCCGCAATCCCTTCTCCTCCATTCTCCTCTCGGGATCTTGGTCATGTATGTACATGTGCCCGACATGAATTTAAGCCACCAGGTCTGGGACTCGAACTGCAGTCAACTACATGGGAATCCAGTGACATAGCCATTACGCCAAATGCTGGTCCCAAGTATAGTAAGATATTTAAAAAATACTGTAATTGGGTCATCAGATGCCATGGAGGTTGAAGTGGCTGGATCCCACATGGCCAGACCTGATGGCTTAAAAACCTCTGGATGCACGTATGTGCATGCCCAAACATTCCAAGAGGTAGAGGGATTGAGGTGTGGCCATTTCCCCCAAGAGGGTGATTTATCACTTTCCCTGTTTCTGGGTATGCATACAACCTATAGCAAATAAAGAAAAATAAATAAGTATTTAGCACCCTCAAATAATTGTTACGCTATAAGACACAATCAACTACAATGTAAGTATAATAAAAGATTAAAAGGCTTTAAAAATTTTTAAATATGATTACATTGACTGTTCCCTCTGTCTAGAATAACCCAGACTGGAATAAGTGACTTATTCCCTAGCCACTTTAGAGTTCACTATTTAGATATCCCTTCTCAATGGGGCTATCATGGTCATCCTATTTAAAATCGTATGTCCCCTCCTCCACATACATGTATTTATAGCACCCTATCTTTATTCTTTTTTTTTTTTTTTTTTGGGGGGGTTTTTTTTTTTTTTTTTTTTTTTTTTGGGGTGTATGAAAGACA